TCTCATCCCCACTACCCAACCATTCTACCCACCCCTCCATCACCTTAACCCCCACCACCACCCTAACCCCATCTCCTGGTGTGACATCATTGACCATTTTTTTAAATTATTTGCAAGTTAAGAAATCTGAGTTATATGAAGGAAAACAACTACAGAGTGACAAAAATTAATGCAAAAATTATACAAATATGAAGAACTATTTACAGTCTACTGATTAAAAAAATATATATATTCGAATGTTCATAAATACATATACGAATATATATATGTAGATAAAATGACTCTCCCTGCGTTAGTCACTTTCGGTATATGTAAGGTTGATCCCGTGAAGGTTTTATATATTCTGTTTTGTAAGTTATAACACCGTTCATGTAACTCAGGCAAATTAATTAATGGACGACATATTATAGATAGTTTGACCTATTGGTGGGAAGTGGGAGGGGATTATTTTTTTGTAGGGGAGGGGGGGGGGAGTATTTTGGTTGTTTCTTGTGTGCATTTCGAGTTGTTAGTTAATGAAGGTTATCTCGTAGTTAAAGGCTATTATTTATTCTGGTCTATTTAATTCTTTGTCTGTCTGTCTGTCTGTCAGTCTGTCAACACCATTTAGTGACTTGTTATAGGGGAACTTATTATGTTGTTATTGATGTTATTGTTGTTATTGTTGTTCTTGTGCTTATTGTTGTTCCTGTTGTTCTTGTTGTTATTGTTGTTCTTGATGTTATTGTTGTTATTGTGAGTATTCATCTCCTTTGATGTTCGTCGATATTATGACTCATGGCGTCTCTTTTCTTCTTGTGTGTCTGTGTGTGTGTCTGTATGTGTCTGTGTGTCTGTGTGTGTGTCTGTGTCTGTGTGTGTCTGTGTGTGTGTCTGTGTGTCTGTGTGTATGTCTGTGTCTGTGTCTGTCTGTGTGTGTTACAGGGTCCATATCGATAGTGTTCCCTCCCCCTTATGACTACGACCGCCCTCTCCCTCACTCCCTCACTCCCTCCCTACCTCCCCCTCCTCCTCCCTCCTCCCTCCTCCCTCCCTCTTCTTCCCCTCCCTACCTCCCACAATAAACTTTGGTCCCCTTACTCTCCTACGAGCTGTGATACATGGGCAGGAAGGGGGGGAACGAGAAAGGGAATGAGGGAGGGTAGGAAGGTAGGAGGGTGGGAGGTAAGGGAGAAGGAAGGAACGGAGGGAGAGAGAGAGACACGGGAGGGGAGGGAGGTAGAGAAGAAGGAAGGGTGAGGGAGGGAGGTAGGTAAGGAAGGGAGAAAGGTAGGTAGGGTGAGGAAGGTCTGCGTCTTACACTTCATCTCCCTACTTTTAAGAGAGGGTAAACTTTGCCTCTTGTGTGACTGTGATACTTCAGCCTACACCTGCCAAAACCTGGGTGAGACGACCACGAGGGGGAACTTTGACAGTAAAAAATGACTATGTTGTGTACTGTCTGTCTGTCTGTCTATCTATCTGTCTATCTGTCTGTCTGTCTGTCTGTGACCTTCGTACGTGTATGTATTAAGATGATTTTGTGTGTGTGTGTGAAACTGTAATGGTGCTGTGCTTCGCGAGGATAAGTTAGGTTAGTAGCAGCAGTCTGTAAAGGTCAAACCCTATCAAGCAAAGGTTAACTCTACACACACACACACACACAGGGACAGACAAAATCACTCCCCCTTGTGTACTTTTATGCTATATTATCCGTCTAATTATTGTCACACATATCGTCCCTCTCCTGAGTTCACTACACGATAAACAATATAGCCCTGCCTTGTTTATAGCGAGTCTGTCGGCTATATTTGTCAGCACTGGCTATTTTATGCTCCTATATTTTTTCCTATGCATTTTCCGTTTTTTTTTCCCGCTGGGGTTGATATCGTTGCTGGCTTACCACTGCACTGTACGTGTTTATGAGTTGCTTATTATTGTGAGTATTATGAGGGGTGAGTATTATGAGGGGTGAGTATTATGAGGGATGAGTATTATGAGGGATGAGTATTATGAGGGTGAGTATTAGGAATTGTGAATATTTACTAGACTGTCATGTGTGTGTGTCTAACAGTGTGTGTGTGTGTGTGTATGTGTCTGTGCAGAGATTGGTATGTGTGTGTGTAGAGATTGGTATGTGTGTGTGTGTGTGTGTGTGTGTGTGTGTGTGTGTAGCATGTGTGTATGTTTGTGGCTGCTATATGGCAGCGAGACATGGGTCACATACAGGAGGCACCTCAGCACACTTGAAAACTTTCACCAACGTAGTCTACGTTCCATCCTCCGAGTTCACTGGGAAGACAAGAGAACAAATGCCAGTATTCTCGCTGACACCAACTGTAAGAGCATCGAGGCTACCATTATCCATGAACAACTACGCTGGACTGGCCATGTTACCCACATGGACAACAGTAGACTGCCAAAACAGCTACTGTATAGTCACCTAACGAATAATAAACGTAACGCTGGCGGGCGACTGAAAAGGTATAAGGATAGTCTTTAGACAAACCTGAAAAAGTGCCACTCGACCCCCTCACCTGGGAGACGATTACTCCACACCGTAACGCTTGGAGGAGCACCGCACGGGAAGGTGTCAATACTTTCGAGTTAGCCCGACTGCATGCCGAGGCAGACAAGCGCCAACGCCCTAAGACTCTGCCGCCGCCCCTCCCGCACTAGATGTAGCCCTCACGCGTGCAACATCTGTGGACGACCCTGCCGGTCCCGTATCGGACTCTAGTCACCTCAGAGGCCACCAACGAAGGTGACATCCTTAATAACTCCTATCATTGTATCATAGCTGGATGATCGACACACGATTCCGAGTGACAGCAAAATGGTAGTAGTGTGTGTGTGTGTGTGTGTGTGTGTGTGTGTGTGTGTGTGTGTGTGTGTGTGTGTAAAGTGTATGTTTATGTGTGTACCGTGGTTAATTTTTAGTTTTGTTAATCGTCTAAGTGTAGAGATAGTAACGAAGAGACAGTAATAAAGAGACCGCACTCAAGAGACAGAGGCAAGGAGTCACATCTAAAAAATAAATAAATCAAAAATAAATCAAAAATAATACAGATTTAAAAATCCAATGACGATTTTTATTGTTTTTTTGTTATCATTTATTACATTTCTCCGGGGACATGACACCTAATCAATACATTTCATATACTTCTAAGTTTACTCCCTTCTTCTTTTATTCTCCCTTCTTTACTCCTTCTCTTTGTTTTCTTTTACTATTCCTTCTCTCACTCTGTTTCTTTTATTTATTTTCTTTTATTTCATCATCCTTCCCTAATCCGTCTTCTATCAACTCATTGGGTTCATTTGGCTTTTAATCATTAGTTTCTGTCTGTCTCTCTGTCTCTGTCTCTCTGTCTGTCTCTCTTTTTCTTTCTCTCTCTCAAAAAACTCACCCACAATACCATATGATTCACCCAACCAACGTAGCAGTATACTGTACCAGGAAGCCTAGTCCAGCATATATGAATGTAATATAGCAAGAGAGATATATACTGCACCCCGTATTGCCGACTGGGGAGGGGAGGGGGGGGGCTCACCACTATATAACCCACATAAACGTCGGCCGCTTCCCCACCTATACTGAATGATACAATAAACATTCAAAGATATATACACAAACCCTAGGAAACGAAGAGGAAGGGGAAAAAAATATTATATTGCCTTGAATAATAGTAATAAATACTTATGGCATTTTTAGTATCTATGTAAGTAATGTGTGTGTGTGTGTGTGTGTGTGTGTGTGTGTGTCAGTGGTAAGTGCGTGTGTGTCAGTGGTGTGTATGTGTGTGTGTTAATATTGTATGTGTGTTAGTGGTGTGTGTGTATGATAAACAACCCGACAACAAACAACACAAATCCCAGTGCCGAGTGGGGTATTCTCGACACTGTTATGTCCAAAACCTGCAGAGATCCTCGGACAGGTCGGGAGAATACACCAGGACTGGTTTGATGACAATGATGCAGAAATCAATGTACTCGTCGATGATAAAAGTGCTGCTTTAAAAGACTGGCAGAACAACCCTCAGTCTCGCACCAAAGCTGATACCATCCGCAAGAAGAAATCGGGCGGCCCTAAACGAACTAAGCAATCTAAAGAACGACTGATTTAAAGAAAAAGTGTGAAACGCAAAAACTTGCAGATCAACACAAGATGTGAGAAATTTTTAAATTCCACTAAAATATTTTATGAGCCAATCACTCATGGAGCAGCCGGAAAGACGCCGACGCCGCCCCTCCCGCACTAGATGTAGCCCTCCACACGTGTAACATCTGTGGACGACACTGCCTGTCCCGTATCGGCTTCTCTAGTCACCTCAGAGCTCACCAACGAAGGTGACATCCTTAATAACTCATATCATTTTATCATAGCTGGATGATCGTCATACTCAATTCCGAGTGACAGCAAAGTCGTAGTGGGTGTGTGTGTGTGTGTGTGTGTGTGTGTGTGTGCGCGCGCGTTCGTGGTGTGTGTGTCTGTGTTTGTGGTGTGTGTGTGTGTTCGTGGTGTGTGTGTTTGTGTGTGCGTTCGTGGTGTGCGTTTGTGTTTGTAGTGTGTGTATTAGTGGTGTGTGTTGTGTGGTGTGTGTGTTAGTGGTGTGTGTGTGTGTTAGTATTGTATGTGTGTTTGTTTTATCCAATCATTTGTATGAGAAATGCAGTAAAGTAGGAGGTCATACACACACACACACACACACACACACACACACACACACACATACAAACATAAAGTGTTACTACCAGGACACACTAGGGACACACTACCAGGACACACCTACCAGGACACACTCACCAGGACAACAAGCAACCCACTGGGACACGCTCACCAGACGACACTACCAGACCAGGACAATAGGACACACTCAGGACACACTCACCAGGACACACTCACCAGACAAAGGACACAAGGACTCACACACCTCACAGGACACACTCACCAGACAATAAAGGGTACTCACCAGGACACACTCACCAGGACACACTCACCAGGACAATAAAGGGGTACTCACCAGGACACACACGGCAACAGTCACGCCTGGTGTAGATTGGTGTAGAACAGGAGACCTGAGGGCAGGTCTTGGTCCTACACTGTGCCTCTCCATCCTGCAGGAGAGAAGTAAAAAGATCCTGTAGTAGAAAGGTAAAGAATTCTCTCTCTCTCTCTCTCTCTCTCTCTCTCTCTCTCTCTCTCCTTCTACAATTAAAGAGGGTCTATAGAAAAGCTAAACAGATCTTTATAGGATAGAGGTAGAGACATTATTTAAGTCTATCTAACCACCTAGCCTTCATCCCTCTTAGATTTGATTCCTACTTCGTCTTTACCCACTTAGTGCTGAAGCTAAGTGGGTAAGGGTCACTGGCAGATATTTAGAGATGTGTTTAATTTTATTTTATCTCCACTACAGTTCATCGGCGGTTTTTTTTTGGGGGGGGGGTCAGTTGAGACTTAATGTCAGTATTTTCCATTTCGCCGATTCTTCCTGGCGGGTTCTGGTGTAGAGTCTGTTTTGTTTGGTTTTGTATTCCATCGCTTTGTGGTAGCTTCTTGGGTAACTGGTTGTTATGATGGGGTGGGAGTTTGAAAACCAATTTCAAAAGGAGGTTAATCATCGGTGGAACTTGGTTGTAAGGATGGCTGCCAACATCAGAGGAAGAATCATGTTCCTTGCATTTTGATTACGGTTCAGACTATTTAATTTATTTGCGATTTTATTTACGTATGTGTTGTGAGACCCAGAGTGTGAAGAGGTACTGCCGACTCAGTTAGGTTTGGTTAGGTCAGAATAGGTCAGGTCAAGTTAGTTCAGTTTATCTTAGGCCAGGTTGGGCTTAGGTTAGTTTAGGTTAGATTAACTATGTTTAGGTAACGTTAGGGTAGGTTAGGTTAGGGTAGGTTAGGTTAGGTTAGGTTAGGTTAGGTTAGGTTAGGGATAGGTTAGGTTAGATCAACTTATGTTAGGTTAGAATTGGACGAAAAAAAAGTACATTGCTCAAGTGGATGTTTTGATTGTTACCTTCCTGGACGTCGACTCAGTCTAGTTCTTGAGCTCTCGTTTCATGATATTCCTCCTCTTGGTATCGACATCTTTAGCCTGATGGCCCCCGCCCCTTAGCGTTTCGGTGGGCTGCTGCTCGTTGTGGTTATAAGTCTAAGAAGATGTCCTTACTCTTATTATTCTAGAAGAATTTTGATGATATTATGTCAACTCTCTGGCTCTAGGTAACACCCTGAGTCTTAAGAGTTTAGTGTGAATTTTCCATTTAGCTTTGTTTACCGTTCGAGGTCTACTGGTATTGCTGAGGTAATTTTCTGGATGATGGCTTTTTTAGCTTTGGATGATGGATTTTAAGCTTTGGATGATGACTTTTTTTAGCTTTGGATGATGGATTTTAAGCTTTGGATGATGGCTTTGGAGCTCTGGATGACAACTTTTGAGCTTTGGATAATAGCTTTTGAGTATGTTGATACTCTTATAAACGTATTTTGCAGACTGTGTTTCTGTGTAGCATTAAATAGTAATCCCTGAAGGTAACCCGGATTTATGGAGGCAAATAATGGACTTGGTTACGATACCTTGTTACTATACTGTGGATTTCATGGGTGTTTATCATTTTGTTTCAGGGGGTTTTAAGTCTCCCCGTTGGGCTGAAGTAACTAGCGGCTACTGTAGTTCCTTCAAAGTTGTTGCTTCCTTTACATATATACTCCTTGGGTGGTTCTTGAGCGTCGTACAGTGTTCCCCCATCACAGTTCAATTACTAATACTACTAAATTTACTAATATTTCTTCTTCTACTACTACTACCACAAGAACTACTAATATAACAAGAACTACCCTGTACTACTACTACTGTTACTACTGTTACTACTACTAATACTACAGACGCTAGCACAGACATGCCCACACTAGCAGCAGCAGCAGCAGGTGGGTACCGGGAGACAGGACAAAATAATAACTTACGTTGCAGTAACAGTGTTCGCACTTATCGGAGACGGCATCGCTGTAGTTGGAAGAGAATGTATCGCCGTGGTTGTACATCATGCCGGCCACCACACACACCCTGGAGGAGGCCTCACCCAACATCGGCTCCATGAATAAGGAGTCGGAATCAGAGGAGGAGGAGGAAGAGACAACAGCTGTTTCTGCCTCAACGCTGCTGCTGGTGCCGGTGTTCGTGGGGGAAGACGAAGCCCCGTTGCCCTCTCCTGATGAATTGCCTTCTTCAGGAGCTATGTTGTAGAGGCGAGGGAGAAAATTTTAACCCGAATCAGTCATGGATATATAACATTACAAACTGTAGAATTAATTACAATGACTCGTCTATAATCTTCAACACTAATTACAGCTTCTCTCAACCTGACCTGAAATACTGATATGGTGATAAGGGTCAATGGGGAGACGACTGTAAAAAAAAAAAAAAAATCACCTATGAGCCAAAAAATGACGACAGATTTATTGATGAATATAATGAAGTGTAATAAAGATGTTCTTGATTAGTGAGGATGTGTGTGTGTGTGTGTGTGTGTGTGTGTGTGTGTGTGTGTGTGTGTGTGCATCAGGTATATTAAGGAAGGGAACACCTGTATGTCACAATTATTGAAGACATGAACTGGTGACCATACTGCACTGTCCTGAGCAGGTGATCAACACAACCCGAACCACAACTCACTCCCTGAGCAGATGGAGCAACACTCTCCCTGGTCTGGTCCTCCGCTACAACCCTCGGGACAAGGTTCGCTGGAACAGTCGTAGTCTAACTCTCCGTCTTCGTTCTGGGGAGAAACAAAAGCACAGGATAAGCTTTTAATGGCGTAGCTTCGAGTTAAACGCTACCGGTGTCATGTGCTGAGATTGTACCGGTGCTGAAAAGAGTTCTGGGCATGCACAGTGAGATCCTAGCCTAACCTAACCTAGCCTAACCAAACCTAACCTAGCCTAACCAAACCTAACCTAACCTAACCTAGCCTAACCTAGCCTAACCTAGCCTAACCTAGCCTAACCTAGCCTAACCTAACCAAATACATTAATATTATTCCGTAGGCTAATCTCAATACCTCAAGCTTTCAATAATGTTTTGAACGAAGTGCACGTGGCCAGAACACCGGCTGTAATAAAAAAGCAAATAATATACCTGAAATGAATGTACAGAGTCAGAAATAGAAGCCACAGGTGTACATAATTTAAAGGTCGAGCAAACGATATATCCTTCACCATCCTCAGCAAAATATAATTATCATGGGGAGTCACTTCTCTTCATGGGTCGAACCTAACCTGACCTGACCTGACCTGACCTAACCTGACCTGACCTGACCTCCAGAAGAGAAAAACGACCTGCAGTTTAGTTTTAATAGAATATCATCTATTATTGATTATGCAAGAACTATTAGTGGAACTCATATGTGGTGGGTTGCTGTATTGTGTGGTGGGTTACTGTGGTGGGTTGGTGTATTGTGTGGCGGGGTGGTGTGTTGTGTGGCGGGTTGGTGTATTGTGTGGTGGGTTGCTGTGTTGTGTGGTGGGTCCCTGTGCTGTGTGGTGGGTTACTGTGCTGTGTGGTGGGTTACTGTGCTGTGTGGTGCAGCTCGCCATGCTGTACTGTGTGTTCAGCTCGCCGCTATACTGCCAGGTGTAGCTCGCCACTTACTGTGTGGTGCAGCTCGCGTATACTGGTGCAGCTCGCCACTTTTACTGTGTTCGCAGCTCGCCACTATACTGTTTCGCCGCGCTATACTGCGTGCAAACTCGCTTGTTTTATACTGTGTGGTTTAGCTTGCCGCTATACTGTGGTGCAGCTCGCCACTACCTTGTGTGGTGCAGCTCGCCACTTTACTGTTTGCAGCTCGCCACTTTACTGTTTTTGCAGCTCGCCGCTCGCCACTATACTGTGGTGCAGCTCGCCACTATGCTGTGGACCACAGCTCACTCCTGCTCTGTGTGGTGCAGCCGCCACTATGCTGTGTGGTGCAACTGGCCGCTATATGGTTGTGCCGCTGGTGCTGTGGTGAACTGGCTCGCCACTGTGCTCGCTACGTGCAGCTCGCCACTATGCTGTGTGTTTCTTTCATCGCAGTATTGGTGCAGCTGGCCCACGCCTGCTGTGTGGTGCAGCTCGCCGCTTTATGCTGTGTGGCTCGGCTACGCCACTATACTGTGGTGCAGCTCGCCGCTATGCACAGTAATGAGGTGCAACTCGCCGCTATAAGGTGCAGCTCGCCACTATGCTATGTGACCTGCAGCTGGCCGCTTCTGCTGTGGTGCAGCTCTGCTTACTGCTGTGCAGCCAGGCGCACTGTGTGGTGCCGCAGCTGGCCGCCCCATACCTGATGATTGCGGCTCGCCACTAGCCGCGTGGTGCCAGCCGCCACCACTCTTTCTGTCATAGTGCGGCTTCGCCGCCTGCCTTGTGGCTCAAGTCCGCCTGCCTGCTGGCAGATGCAGCTGGCGCGCTGCTGTGGTTGCAACTCGCCACTGCACTATCGTGGCTCCGCTCTTCCCTGCTGTGAGTGCAATGGCCGCTATGCTATTGGTGCATGCCCACTTCTGCTGTGGTAAGTTGCAGCTCGCCACTATGCTGTGTGGTGCAGCTCGCCACTATGCTGTGTGGTGCAGCTCGCCACTATGCTGTGTGGTGCATCTGGCCGCTATACTGTGTGGTGCAGCTCGCCACTGTGCTGTGTGGTGCAGCTCGCCACTATGCTGTGTGGTGCAGCTGGCCGCTATACTTTGTAGTGTGGTGCCTTCATTTTTTCCCGTCATTACTCAGAGCTCCAAAAATTTGTGTATATTTCCAAGGTTCTCGTGACGTCTTCATTCCACTTCTCATTCATCATCAGTGTGTCTTAGTTACTCAGACGTTAGCCAACCCTCTCTTCATCTTTTCGACTAAACATGTCTCTCCTTTTGTCACTCCCTACACACACATTGTCTTTATTCTCTCTCAACAAGTTTCTCATTTTTCACAAGACTTCCTTTATTATTGTTGTGCTGCTTGTAAAATGTTTATTCTGAGGAGGTCGAAGTCGGTCTGTAATTCGTTATAGTGATGACCTTGTTTAACGATGACCCTGTATAATATATTTGCTTACTTATCCCGATTTTCATTGTTCTTTTAATACTACATAGTTGACACACATACACACACAGACACACAAACTCACGGAAATACACACACACATACACACACATACACACACACGTACACAATCACAGAGATATGTACACACAAATATAGACATCCATGTTTGTGTGTGTGTGTGTGTGTGTGTGTGTACTGTTCTGGTCCGAGTAGCCTCAAACAAAGACACCCCCCCCCCTCCCCCAGCCAATATCCCTTTTTATTACTATTGTTATTCACTATCTCATCCACTGGCCTGGCCTAGCTACCCTTGGGAAGATGGGTGGGTGGGGGTGTGGGTGGGGGTGTGGGTGGGGGTCTTTGCCTCTTCCTATCACACATAAACAAGGGGAAATTTATCTTCACCTATATACTTAAACCACACACACACACACACACACAAAATCCGCCTTGAGTAATTTTTCCTAAACGGTAAAAATACGTCTCGAATCGCATATATAAAGAAAACAAGGGAGAATATTTTTCTATACCATCGAATGGACGTCATTTCTTCACTGTTTTTTTTTCCTATCATATAATTATAATACATATGTATATGATCAAAAAGTAAGCACATTGTTGGTGTAAGTACGGACGTAAAATCACACCAAATTATACTGTATGGTTACCAGATCTAAAGGCGACGACATGCGATGTTTTGATACGCTATGTCAGTAGTACACGGAGGGAAGGAAGGGGGAGCACTCTGACGCAAGGAAGAGAAAATTGTTATAATACCCAACTTGTTGAGAGAGTGAGATACAGTCGGTTCTCTCTCTCTCTCTCTCTCTACACATAAAGTTATTGCCTTTCCTAACCAGTATTTCTGTGTGAGGAGGAGGAGGAGGAGAGGTGAAATTATTTTGCGCTCCCGTCTCCTATCAACAACGGATCAATAGATACCACAGACACGCTCCGCCATAACACCACCTCCCTTCCCCCCCCCTACTCCCTTCTCCCTCTCCTCCTCCTCCTCCTCCACGAAGAGTAAATAGGTTGTTATGACCTTATTCTAACCCTAGAGGAAAGAGTCGAGGAAAAATATATCAAAGTAAATAGTTGAGTTTGTTAGGTTAGGTTAAGTTAGGTTAGGTTAGGTTAGGTTAGGTTTAGTTAGGGCAGGTTAGGTTAGGTTAGGGCGAGTAATCTTCATAATTATTATCTCTTTAGAGTTTAGAAAAATACAGTGAACGGGTGTCGTATGCTGGCCTCCGTATATACCAAGTAAGGCAGTGTGTGTGACGTGTAACAATGGGTAGTTCAATGAAGTTCAGTACACTCTCACACCCTTCTGCTATGGCCTTGTTATGTATCAACTCATGTACTATAATAATTAATGTACGTTTTCAGTTTTCTTTTTAAGTAGCGATGTTAATGGACCACTTCTACCACACCTTATATCAGAGTACCGCATGGTGTGGCTCCCTCTGTTTGTGAGAGTGGTGAGGCTATGTGTAAAACCTAAAACACCCATATTGTAAAAGTTCATCGCAGTGATTTGGATGTTGCCAAAAAAAAAAAAGTCATGAATTTTAAGTTTCTGAATCTTTTGACGATATTATTTTGGTGAGGGACCGTAGGAATTTATCTTAACAATAACAACAAATGTGCCCATCGGTGTCATGATGTTTATGTATATGTCCTGAACCAATATAGCAGCCCTTACGACTCAATGTTCTGGACTCTCCGTGAACTCTCCGTGGACTCTCCCTATCCCCTCCCTCGCCCCCGTCTCGTCCCCTCCCTAAATCAAGAGCAGGGTACGGGTCGTCCTCCGTGTACCCATCAGGAGTTAGAGTCTCGACATCAACAAGAGCCGCCCCGTGCCTGGTCTGGTCTGGTCTCGTTTTGGGTCCTTCTGCTGCTGCTGCTCTCTTGTACGTATCTCCCACAGTGGGGGATAGGGAAGCATGACTCTTCGGTTACTGTCAGGCGAGTCGATTATATTATGTGACTTTAGGGACCGCAATACAGCAAGGCGGAGAAGGTGTATATGTTTGTTTGATATCTCTCTCTCTCTCTCTCTCTCTCTCTCTCTCTCTCTCACATACACAAACAGCGCCATTAAATTACAATAACAACTCTCGCGCTCATACAGATCCATTACATTCTAAAAACACCTCTCCCTTTCTCTCTCTCTCTCTCTCTCTAAAATAAGAGAATACATAAAGTTCCCTCTCAGGTCCGGGGATTGAACCCAGTGTGGAATGTAAATGGTGGACCTCCTGGCTGTGGTGTAGGAGAGAGAGAGAGAGATAGCGCGTAGGTGTTGTGTTCGTGGTTGTATGTGTGGCCGTGGAATAAGACGGAGTAGGGTGCTATGGCCCACTTCTCATCCTCGACGGCGGGAGAGAGGCGTCACTAGGCTATTACGGATGTTCAACACGCGCGTCACGGGGGGGGGGGCACCCGACGCCAGATTTAGCCCTCGGAAGGAAGTCTTTTAACGTGTTTTTAGTGTTGGTAAATGTAATAGAAATGATATTTAGCCATTTTATTTTCGTTTTAAGGGAAAAATAAAGGCTAATAATAAGACTTTAGAACATAAATTTTGACCCGTATATATAAATTTTTCTTTGACTTTAGAAATTTGTTATAGAATATATATTATTAAGAGTAATATTAAGACAGTGGTGATGTGTTATTTATTCAGACCAC